TTCATCATATGTTGATGTTAACGTACTTCACATGCGTAATATATCAGATACAGCTCTGAAATCAGTGTTTCAATTTCTTCAACCGATTTCAGGTTAATTGTGCACCAAATGGTCGATATCAGTTCAAATGACCTGAAATGTGGCACATCTGACTGAATTCAGTCTAGAAGCAAGTACATCAAATTTGGTGGAAATCGGTTCAGATGTAGTTATAGCTCCCATATATATGCTTCATCCGATTTGGTGTTGAAGTCCCTCACATGCATAATATGCATTTGAAAACAATGATATTTGATACCAGATATCTCGGATATACCTTTGCCAAATTTTATCGAGAATGGCTAAGATTTGGATATAGCTTCCATATATATCCTTAATCTGATTTCAGGTTTATTGTGCAAATAATGACTAATATCAGCCCAAATGGAGGGATTTTCGGGACGTACGATGAATTTTTCGAAGTGATATCATAAATTTTTTTGGTATAAAAGATGAAAACTTTTCGTCAAAATTAGTAAAAATCGATTCAGATTTTGATATGCTTCCAATTCCCTCTGAAACCAAATTATATCTGCTCTAAAGCCAAAGGTTAATAGGCGGTATGATCTACTTGAAATAAATTATTTTATTACAGGAGCTCTACTAAATACACATAGTGGTGTAGGGTGTCATATAGTCGGCCCCGTCCGACTTTTAACCTTTCCTTACTGGTTCTGTTCTGTTTTAAATTACTCAGCTTTATTAGTACCAAAGTACAGCATGAGTGTGCTGGCAACTCCCTTATGAGTCATAAATTTTAAAACTACTCATAGAGACCAGCACATAAGTTAAGACCCCTCAACTCAACAATAAATAAATTTCGAAATTATATCGCTTACCCACATTAACGTCCCTGTGCTGTACATATGACATGCATATTTCGAAAACAACAAAAAATAATGAAATACAACACAATCAGTCTAGACTAGATAGCAGACATTAAAAAATTACACAAACAAAATTTAACGCGTTGTGTCCGACCGCAGCGTCAAAAGCTAGACCGAAAACGAACAAAAAAGAAAACAAAAACAGAAAACCAAAAAAAAAAAAAAAAACGGAATAACTGAAAACCCAATCAGACGAGAAAAAATGCGGCAGGCAAGTGTGAAAATCTCAACAAACCGCCATGACATAAAGCCACTTAACCCCATCTAGTGATTATTTTTTTTTTTTTAAATGTCATGAGTTTTTTGCACGAGTTTTAAAAATCGAGCAATGAAAACACCAAATCATCATCATCATCTACGACTCCATTCTTAGTCAACACATTCAATTGACACTATTAGGTGGGTGATAATTTCTTTCACAGCTCGGGAACAAAGTCCAACATTAGATAGCAAGTTTTGGGTGATTGTGTGTATTTGTGTGTTCTTCTTTTTTGTGGTCGTTGTTATCAGCATATGTATGGAAAGTATACATACCTACTTACATGTGTACATACATGTGTATAAATATGTATAAGTTTACTTGTGTTTGTCTGCAGGCATTCTTGTGGGTGTTAAAGTATTCGCCGTTACTTAAGTTTTGATAACTCTTTTGAAATTATCCAACAAAATTATTCGACAAGGTCGTCATCGCCACTGTTGTCATTATTGCCGCCGGCATTTTCGAAACTATTTTTAGACCAGACAATATCTACAAATTTATCATATGGCCTTACAATTTGTAAATACCGGAATTAGTAAGTTTTCTTCAATGTCTCATTAATGGAGTTCCACCAAAAATTAGAAGGACACATGAGACAAATTTCAAAATGAAAAAATAACTTACCTTTACCCTGTATGGTGAGATGAAAAAACTGCAACCAACTTCAGACTGCTGTCATTTCTAAGCCACTCGTCCGACAGCTGTTAGGGTGGAAATACATAAAGCGCTTATCTGGCTGGCTTAAGTCATCGGCTGGCTTCTTCGGAAATGAACAAGGGAGACTAGGGCCAAAATCGAACTATGTCAACCTAAAACTACTTTGTTCATCTACGAAGAAGCAAGCCGATGACTTAAGCCAGCCAAATATGCTCTTTATGTATTTGCAGCCTTAAAATTATTCCAGTGACAGCTGATTATATTATTTACAAGGGTACAAAAGCATTTTGGGTGAGAATTTTCCACAAAAAAAGTTATTCGTGATGGAAATCAAGCAAAGCGTGAGAGTGTGATTTCTTCTTATTTGGCTTGAAAACCACATAGCCACAAATGGCTATCGTTAGAGAACTCCAGCATTTAAGTGTGAACAAATCTTTTGTGTCTCGTACCATCGCTCGTTACCGTGATACTGGTAGCGTAGGCCGACGTCAAGGAAGAGGACAAAAGAAAGCAGCAACATCAGCAGAAATGGTTCGAAAAGTAAAGAAGCGACTTGATCGAAACCTGCATTGCAGTGGCAGAAAAATGATTCGTGAGCTGAACATATCGCAATATTCCATTCGGCAAATATTGAAAAATGAGCTCGTGGTAAAGCCATTGAAATTCCAAAAAATGCAAGAACTTTCACCGCACCTGAAAGAAAATAGACTCAAAGGAGCTAAAGAGTGGCTTTGCTTTGTCGAAAGTGGTGAACTGCCGAATTTGGGTTTCTCTGTCTCCGATTAGAAAACATTCGTTGTCCAGCAGCTTGTAAACAAGCAAGAAGATCGTGTTTACTTGGTCAGCTGAAAATGTGCGCCTTCGGTTGGCATCCAGAACTCAAGCGCCGGCCATGGTGATGGTGTGGGCTCTCCGCTCTTATTAATCGACCGTGACATCAGAATATATGCCGAATATTATCCCGAAAATATTCTGGAGGGTGTACTGTAGCCTTGGGCACGCAAACATTTTGGCCGCATCCCTTGGACATTCCAACAGGACTCAGCACACGCCATCTAAGAATGGTTACAAAATGAGGTTCCTCGCTTTATTTCCAGCGCATAATGGCCACTAAAATCTCCGGATACCAATCCGTTGGACACTCAATAGTCTGAAATATTTTGGAAAGCAAGGTTGGCACTAAAAATACCAAAGTGTCGATCACCTCAAGCAAGTCTTTGGCCGGTAATGGACCAAAATACCTCAGAGCAACATTCGGGCAGCGTGTGACGGTTTCATTGGCCGTTTGAAGGCCATAATTCGTTTCAAAGGTGACCAATTCGAACAAGTCTAAACTTATTTTAAATGTTGGTGCTATTGCCGAAATTTGTAGCATTCATTCATTCAAAAAAAATAAAAAAAAATTAAAAATTATGGCCTTTGACTTTGTTGCAGTTTTTTTATCTCACCCTGTATATGTAACCAATATACGATTATATTGGGAATTTAAATCCATTTCCTCTTAATTTGGCGGATTTTTTTTTTCCATAGGCTGCATATTATGACATTGCGAAGGACTCAGTATAAAATTGTATGAAACATATATATGGGGGCTATATCTGAATCCGTAGCGATTTCGACAAAATTTGGCAGAGGTTTCTGCATACACAGTTGTTATGTTGTTACATCTGCAACCGAATTTCATTGTTTTCAAGTCATTATTATGGGTTTGAGAGACTTAAGCGTCAATTCGGATGAGGCATGAGAGCTAATCCGAACCTTGTTTTACCAAATTTTAAGGACTTAAATACTGAGTTCGATCCTATGTGCCAAAATCTTTCCTAATTATAAAACCTACAATTAAACTTAAATCAGCCGAAGGCTTATATATGGGATCTGTATCCGAATCAGAACTAATTACCACTAATTTCAATAGGGTTCATCCTTGGCCCCAACCAATAAACTGTGTAAAGGTGTGCTTCAATCGGAAAATAAACTTCTCCATTAATTTGATTAAAAAATCGATAAATACACGTATTTGGAAAAATCTTATTCCGATTACCCAAAGGGATTATAGGTCTATGTAGTTCCCTTTTGCATGTTACAAACAAATGCACAAACACATAATACCCTGTACCTAAGTGCAGCGTGGGACATGTATTTTAATATGCATCCACCAATTCGATTCTCCCCCACATTTCTTCCAAAAATTTTCAAAGCTTTTCACTTTGGAGGGTGTAACATAGCCGAGACGACCTTCATGCTTCGGCTGTTACAGATTTCGCTTGTTGATACCTGCATTAATTCATTCGTTTAATTTATTCATTAATACTTGTTAAATCTGTCTGGCATTCGGTTTCAGTTGATGTGTTACAGACAAACAGACGCACATATGTAACAAAGGGGCAGCATGCCATGTAACACCAGTGGGACGGATTCATATGTTATACCATTTTATTTTTATTTCATTTTGTGTTTTTTTATTATTATGTCTAGGTCATGTCGTTATGAATGAATACCGGGAAGACTAACGAGAGTGATGATAATGTGGAACAACAAAAAAAAAAGCCAACCACATTAATCTTTATACTCCAATTAAGATCAGTCGATCTGTATAGTTTCAATGAATGTCATGATTGATTTTGTGTTATTCAACTGCGGGAGCAACGAAAAAAAACGAATTCAAATGATTCGAAAGCAAAACGCGATTCAAAATGATTCAATTATTGTGAGTTTTGTAATGGAAAAAAATAAAAGATTACTATTTTGTTATGAATGTAATTTTTGTGGAGATAAGATGTAAATAAGTACAAAATCTGTAAGTTCGGCCGGGCCGAACTTTGAATACCCTACGCCATTTGGAACGTAAATTTGAAAAACAAATTACGTTATTACAAATTTTCTTTGATCAGAAATTTTCATTTCAAACTTGCATAGAACAAGAATTGAGGCCCCGTTTCTTACGTTTTTTCTACTCAATTTTTTTTTGTAATTAATTAGGAAAATTATTTTTTTTAGCTCTTTTTGGGCACTAGACTTCATTTGTTTAAAAAATTCCATTAATTTCAATTTCATGAAAATAAATACTTTTATTTCAAATACAAACTTCTAAAATATTTCTTTGTTAATTACAATTCTAAAATTAATTTTTATTTTATTTTGTTTCGTTATCTTTTTAGGACAGCCAATGCCAGCGGTCTTAGCTAAGCAGCAATTCCATAAAACAATACAACGCTACATACAAATAAAAAGCGATACTTTTAAATTTCGTTTCGTGGTTTTGTAGCCCTCGAGCAGTGTCAACTCTGATACCCTTCGAATAGTTTGCAAGTGACTCATGTGGATTTGGATTTTGAAACATTAAATTGATTCACAATCATCATTCATTTCAACGGAGATTCAACCAAATATTCAGTGCTCTGGCTTTAAATTATCAAGCAGGGCCGAATAATTCATACATCATTTTAAATACTGAGCCGGAACATTCTGTATCCGTAAGTATTGAGAGTTTTTTATTTTCAATTATTTTAAAAATATTTGTATTCGGGGAACTTTAACATTGGAAGACCCCAATATTTACCCTGAAGATCCTAATATTTTCCTTTTAAAAAAGAGAAAAACTTATGTTTGTATGTGTGAAATTTGAAGAGAGTTGAAGAGAATGCTAATTTCACTTTCATTGAGCGTTTTGTTTTTCAAAATCTTGAACCCTATGTAGGGGAGGTATCAGAAGAAATGGTCCGACCTATAACATCTTTATAACAGATCTGGTGTTGATGGAAATATTGACAGTTACCAAGTCTGAATGGAATCGGATGTTAAATTCGCCTTTTATGAGCTTCAGGGTTATTCAAAATTTGACCTTTTCTGGGGGACATAGAAGAAGGATGGTCCGATATATTACATCTTCACAGTAGATCTTGTGTTAGTGGAAATAATGAGATGTGTGAAATATGAAGAGACCCGGATGTTTATTTCGGAATTTATAATCGTTTTGGTTATTCAAAACTATGACCCTTTGTGGGGGAGGTACCAGAAGGAATGGTCCGATCGCTACCCATCCGTTCGTCTGCCTGCTGGCTAGCAGGCTGGTGCGCACGATGATTGGTACATCTTAATATTATTGTCAAACTTAGATCAAGTTCGGTGAAGGGAAAATCGGTCCGGTCTTCCACAACAGGTCAAAATTTGGTATAATTATAACTCTCATAAAATGTGAAATAAGAGTCCGGTTGTGATAAAATTTCACAAATTCTAATATTTTTATTAACATAAGATCTGGTGTGAAGATTATAACAATCTACTCCATAATCGGTCAAAATTTTGAATATCCCTCATACTCGTTAAATGCAAAATGAACATTCGCACTTCCCAATATATCTAACAAGGCAAGATCTGGTGTGAATATGGGCCAATGCGGACCACTTCTTCTGGTACTGCACTGGTTTATAATCTATATACAGGGTGAGATAAAAAACTGCAACAAAGTCAAACGCCATAATTTTTACAGTTTTAAGTTTAGATTTGTTCGAATTGGTCACCTTTGCCACGAATTATGGCCTTCAAGCGGCCAATGAAACAGTCACACGCTGCCCGAATGTTGCTCTACGGTATTTTGGCCCATTCCCGGCGAAGCGCTTGCTTGAGGTGATCGACACTTTGGTATTTTTTAGTTCCAACCTTGCTTTCCAAATTACTCCCCTACAACGGATTGGTATCCTGAGATTTTGGTGGCCATTGTGCGCTGAAAATGAAGCGAGGAACCTCATTTTGTAACCATTCTTGAGAGAAACTATATTCCAATTTTGCTCCAACTTTACAAATCCTAAAATTTGCGTCAGTGCTAGGTCAGGTGTGAAAATGGACAATATCGATCCACTCCATCAAGTACCTCCCTCACAAAGGGTCAAAACTTTGAATAATTTCATTTTTGAGTCCGATTGTCTTCAAATTTCACACATCCTAATATTTATATTAACCCAAGGTCTGGTGTTAAGATGGAATATATCGGTCCACTCCTTCTGGTACCTCCGCCACACAAGGTCGAAATTTTCAATAAACAAAAAATATTTTTTTCTACACAGAAGGAGAAGCGATAATCTGGGTTTACTCTAACTTTGCAAATCCTAATATTTGCGTCAGTTCTATGTCAGGTGCAAAAATGGATAATATCGGTCCACTCCATCAAGTACCTACTCCACATTCCATTTAGACTTGGGATATCTGAATATTTCTATCAACACAGGATCTGCTAAAAAAGGTAGAGATTGGGCCATTCCACCTGCTACCTCCCCCACAAAGGGACAAAGTTTTGAATAACCAAAATATTTATAAAATCCGAAATAAGCATCAGTTTTTCTTTATATTTCACACATCCCATTATTTTCACTGGATGGATTCCAAGGGATCTTAATCAAAATATTTTGGAAAAATTAGGAAAAGGGGGAACTTGCTTCCTCTATTTAGCTTACTTTGCGAAGTAAACTTTTAAAACGCTGCAAAGGTGGCTTTAGACCAACACTACACCTTTTAATTGGGTTAATTAACTCATATGGCTCCCACGGTTTTTCCTGGGTTATATTTACCTTTAAAAATTTGATTTCATGCTTTTCCCTATCGCTTGCCATTGATTCTGGGGAAACAAATCACCTATTGACTTTTTCAATGATAGATGACATGTCAAGTCATGCACTATTGCCCATAAATATGTATGTTCACAGGGATTTTGATTATGCTCAACACCCACATAAGGATGCTGTTAAATTCTGCCATATTTTCCGATAATTTTATTTAAGAAAGAGAATTTCACTTTAGGAATCTTTGTATCAGACTTTTTTCTTTGAAAACGGAACAAAAAGAAAATCTTACCGCTTCTCTTCTCTAAGTCTGAAACATTTAAAAGATGAAACAAAACAATACAAAATAAAAACCCAGCCAGACATAAAACACCAAAGGGTCCCTAAAAATAACAAAAACAACTACAAGAGACGGCTACAAAACAGAAGCATCGTGGAGAGGTGAGGTGAGGAGAGACAGCAATAGAGAATGTGGGCACATTAATGACGCAGCAAAATATATATTTAAATAATTTTTTGCCGTAGAGAAGGGTGGATGCTGAAAGGCAATGAAGGACATCCTCATTGAGCTGATAATGACGTTGATGCTCACGCTGATGATGATGATGATCACCATGATGGTGACGAAACGTTCGTTGCCAGTTGAAGGAAGCAAAACGTAAAACTTACACGTACCAGACAATGGAATAGCAGCAGCAACAACAACAACAAAAACAGTTTACGTCTTCATCTTCAGACTTAAGTCAACTCAATCATCGCCGCCACAAAAGAGAGTAGGTGCCACATTTTGGAGGGTGGGGCAACCTTCTTCTTCTTCTTTTTGTTTGTTTGTTATACATTAGACTTTTGCTTTGGTCGGTAACACCAATTGGGGGGTGTGAGAGTTTTATGCCATCTGTCTGGTTAGCTCTCTTTGCCGATTTAGGGTCGGTTTGTGTGTGTCTGTGTTCAAGTTAGCGTGTAGGGAAGGATGGCAAAGTCCTTGAAGCTAAACATAGGCAGACACTTAAATTGCTTTTATTGACTTTATGAAGAGGGAGCGCATACAATGTTGTATAAATGACTGGCTGGTTTTGTGTTTGTATTTCTTTGTCCTTGTTGTGTTTATACATGACTGTGCAGATGTATGTGTGTGTATGTGTCTATGGCTGTGTGTGTGTGTGTGTGTATTTATGTGTCTACCATAGTCGGAGCTAAATACTCCTGTCTGCTTTTAGGCTCCTGGTTTGTAAATTATGTAATATTTTATTCTCATTGAGAAAACAACCCACGTACACAAACACCGACACAGCGACCGACACAGACACAGACAGGCATACTTAAATAGGGAAACTTTTGTGCAAAATGCCTTCGCTGGCTGGATGAGTCGGAAGTTGGCATAACTTTTGTATAGCCTCGTAATATTCATGTTGAAATTTTCTGTGAAATACATTCGAAAAAAAAAAAATAACTGGTGTTAGGAGGAAATTGTTGTTTTGTAATAAATTTAATATGTTATGTATAAATATATAATTGACGAAAGAAGAAGAAGAATCATAGCGGATGAGCAAAGCACAGACGTAACGGAATTTTTTGTATTTTTATATTTTGCATGGGGATTAAGTCTGGTGTGAATATGGAGCAATGCGGACCACTCCATCTGGTACCACACCGGCTTATAATCTATGTGTAAAAGAGTAGTGAAATAACTGACTGACTGAAAATCAATGCTCAAACGAACCGGCTGAGGTTAGAATCTTGAAATTTTGCACGAAACGGCTTTTGGTTTTGATGTGGAGTCGTGTGATAAGGCTGAAAAATCGAAACATTTTTGGAAATTTGTACTAAAAGGATACGTAAAGTACTTAAATATAATATTACACTAAAATTTGGAATGAGAGTTAATGATGGAGTGTATGATAGGTGTACCAAAGGATTTTTGGAAATCCGAACATTAAGGTTATGAAAAGTTCTGTAATGATACTAAACTTCTAAAACGGTACTTCTTGGTATTATATGAACGGATAGAGGTAAAAACTTTAAATTTGGTATGAGAATAAAGATTGGAAATTATGTTTGATATATGAAAGTGGTTTTGGAAATGTGTACTCAGGGTGCGAACTGAACTAAATATTACTAAAATTGCAAAGTTTGGTTAAGGGTGGACAGATGATGCTGGGATTTGAAAATGTTTTTTTTTTTTTTTTTTTGGGGTCCCTGTTGATGTTTGGTTTGTGATAAAGTGGTGATTTTGAAAGTGAGTTTTACAAAAAGTAGTAAATAGTACCATATTTGGTACAATTTGTCATTGGGTGAACAAATAGTGTTTGAAATCAGAAAATTTGGTGTTAGAGTCGCTGTTCACATGGAGGTCCAGGTTTCGGAGATGTGTACTAAAATTGTACGAAAAATACTAAAATGTACCATACAGGGTGAGATAAAGAACTTCTACAAAGTCAAAAGCCATAATTTTTTTAAATTTTTTTTCTTGAATTTTATTGAATGAAAGCAAAAAATGTCGGAAATAGCATCAAATTTTAGAATATGTTTAGATTTGTTTGAATTGGACACCTTTGTGGCCTTCAAACGGCCAATAAAACCGTTGTAGGCTGTCCGAATGTTGCTCTGCGGTATTTTGGCCCATTCCCTGCGAAGCGCTTGTTTGAGGCGGTCAACACTTTGGTATTTTTTAGTGCCAACCTTGCTTTCCAAAATACTCCAGACACAATATTCCAACGGATTAGTACCCAAAGATTTTGGGGGCCATTGTGCGCTGGAAATGAAGCGAGGAGCCTTATTTTGAAACCATTCTTCGGTGGCGCATGCTGAGTGCGATGGTGCTGAGTCCTGTTGGAATGTCCAAGGTCTGCGACCAGAATGTTTGTGTCCTCAAGGCTTTAATACACCCTCCAGAATATTTTCGCGATAATATCCGGCAT